CGAGACAGAACTGACCTGGTTTTTGTAAACGAGGTAGGCAAGAAAAAAGTAAAACAGCAAGAAGGGAGTGATCAAAGGAGCCAAGATGCAACACGTAAAGCCGAGGAAACCGAACAGGAGAATTCGAGGAACTTCCGTGTGATATGGGAACGAAAGAGTTTCGAAAAGTGGTTCGCTCTTGATTCTAAGAATCCATCTTCTGATCAAGTTGCAAGTAAGAGGAAAAAGTTGCATAACTTCACAAGACAAACTTGCCCAACCAGATGATAGAACATAAGTCAAGAAGAAACTAGCCTGCCATCAAAAAGTATGCACAATGTAACACAATCAAACAAACAAACAAACAAAGAGGGCGTTTTTATTTCACCTGTGCCGGTACCGCTTTGCCAAATGTAGCAGGTATATCCTTTACACTAAAAAAGACATTCAACGTACGAAGAATCGACCCCGTAAATACGTTAACGAAAAAGACGTTCCAGATCGTGAAGTACAAGACTTTAAGGCATGCACTCCGTTTCCGACCACTGCGAGAAATAGATCCCTCCAGGGCTGAAAACGACATCATTGTCGGTGGAACCAGATACATAAATAGAATCAATATGACGCTCGGTAAGTATCCGGTCACCAGTTCGCTCATATATTTCCTACATAACGACATGATTGAGTAAATTCCTTGTATTCATGTTTGTATGATCTCTATTTACAATATTTGCACTTACTTTTTCAAGAGGCCTTTAAGGAATGGGAATGCTTGCTGCAATTGTTCCAGCTGCGTCATGCTTTGTACGAGCGTTACAGGAAGCAAAAACACAAGCATGAATGCGGTAGCAGCAACCAGTGTTCCTATCTTTCGAATCCAAAGTTGCCGATATGGTATAGAAAGGTTTGACCAATAAACATCATGAGGTGCTGGAGCTAAGTCTGTTGCCCACGACATAGGATTTGCTGACTGAAGAGCGGTCGCAGCCATAAGCGCAGCATACCGAGTCTTGAAGAATACAAAAGCAGCTGAACATTCCTGATTTAGAAAACGAAACGTGACTAGATATTACGTAGATCCGTTTTGGAACGGTTTTTTTTATGTAAACATAACTAATCTCTGACCTTTTCTCCAGCCAACATGTCCATATCACCATATAGGTTCTTATCTGTCACACTATCATTTACACTTGGAAGAATCGCAAAAGAATTTGTTGGTCCTGCACAAAAACATCCTCCTTTGAACTTCTGACAGTGCATTTCCACCGAATTTTCCTTCATCATGTTGTACATTTTCTCTGCATCACTCTGAAAATTAACTCTGTCATGAACTTCCAAAACTGAACAAAGAAAAGCATTGAAAAGACGAATTTAAAGTTTTTTTAGAGAAATCGTTCTCGGTTCTTAGTTCTTGATAGTACAAACCGTGTTTCAAACCGTGTTTCAACCGTGTTTATCCTCAAATTCTAGTGTTTCAACATCCCAACCGTCAATAAATGATGTCAGCCCAACCTCCCTACTAGTAGATATTGCATCCTTGTCAACCTTACGGTTTTAAAATGTGTCTACTAGGGAGAGGTTTCCACACCCTTATAAGAAATGTTTTGTTCCCTTCTCCAACCAATGTGGGATCTCACAATCCACCTCCCTTGAGGGCCAACGTCCTCGCTGGCACACCGCTCAGTGTCTGGCTCTAATACCATTTGTAACATATTGTCCTCTTTGACCCATTACGTATCGCCGTTAACCTCACGGTTTTAAAACGCATCTACTAGTGAGAGGTTTTCACACCCTTACAAGGAATGTTTCGTTCCCCTCTCCAACCAATGTGGGATCTCACTGTCCTAAACTCGCTTCATCACATTCTATAATGTGCTTCAGCATATGATCCATCAGCCAATGTACGTTTTTAGTTCTCGATTTTATAAAATATGAGGCCGATCATCCTACCGGAAGTGAATTAGATGCACAGTTACGACATATTCATCTTGCTCATTCCTAATTCCAAACAAAAACTTGAGCATATAACATATGTTAATTGGTCTATATTCATATAGTAAATAGGAAATGAACCTAAAATCGATGATGAATATGCAGAATGAGTTGAAAAATATTTTGTAGATACGTACCAACAGTTTCTGAACGGTACCCGACCGATATATCATTTGGTGCGACAAGTAACCGGATTCATGGTAATTGGTGAAGAACTTCCTAACAGTTTCACTATAAGATTCGTCTGGAGACCACGGAATCGACCGGACTAAAACCGTAAAATAAGTAGGATTCATTTGAGCACCAGTGATGTAGATAAGTCTCATTTGACTTATGCTTAAGTACTCCTGCAAATAATTAGTGCAATCAAGGGCAATGCTCAATAGGAAAATCCAAAAACATGGTACATAAACATCCTGAGGAACTTACAAAGTAAAGGAGCACACAAGCCGAACAACATATGACGTATAAAGCGATACAATGGGCACAAAGCCTGATTAAGGGGAGACAAAATCAAGAGTCTGAGTTAAGAACGTAACAACAAGTTAAATGCATAAGGTAAGGAGTGTCGAGATCGCATACCACTTAGAATTTTCCTTGATGTTCTCAATGGAAAAAACATCGAGCGACTCGGAAGGTATCAGCTTGTGAGTCGTTTCTTGACCGTAATAATTTACTGGAAGCACTAGAAACAGGCAAGTGATGGCAGCAATTGAAAAAACCCGAATGCTGTACAGCAAAACAATTAGCATCTGCAGTAAGCAAAATCAGGAAACTGAAATTTGTTTCAACATACAGGAATTTGAAGTTGATTTACAAGCACATTGCAAGAACACAATGAGCTTACAACCAAATGTTATAAGAGTTGCAACCAACCTGAATATTATTATCCTGAGAAAAACCACAGAATCTAAGCCATCGAGAGCCAAAATTTCTTCCTCAGTTGTTTCCCAAGCTTTCACTATCCAACTAGGGGAAGGTACAAATCTATCAAAGCAAAAGGTTTCACAGTGTTTCAACTTTCTCGATGCAATCTTTCGACCGAAATACACCGTTATGTTGCTCGGTTGCTTTCGCAATATTGAATACAGAGAGAAAAGCACCACACAGATGCCAATATTGATACCAACTGAAGTTAGAAGCGCAGAAAATTCCATTTCACTTTACTTTCTCACGCTCCCAAATGAAATTATAAACACAAAGAATCACCCAAAACAGGGCTTCACTCAGATTGGCTTTCGATACCTTTTGTGCTCTCTTCCTGCCTACAAGAAGCAAAGAAAATTTCACTACAAGAACACCCAAAATTTCCATTCCACATAAACAAACAAGCATAATCCGACCCTTTTACGCAGAAACAGAGATAAATTACGAACAAAACCAAAAGGGGAAAGGGAAAAGTACCTGAAAAACCCGGTGAAGAACACAGCAGAAACCCTAGGAATCGATATTGGTTATGAATCGAGGATCGAATTGGGAAAACTTAGAAGTGAAAGAAAAGGGATATGAACAAATAATCACAAAACTTATACGTTATGAACAGCTTTGCTTGAACTCCAAAGATAAAAATCCAAAAAACCCTTTTCAAAAAAGAATACCCAGATCGAATCAAACCCTAAAGTCTCACCCGTTTCTTCCAAACCAACTCAAAACAGATTAAAAAATGAAAAACAGAACAGTTTGGAAGTGGGTAAGCAATTGGAATACGCTGTCCAAACGGAATGTTAGTCGACATTCGAAGGAATGCCACGTTGAATGGTAATCACACAATCGAGAAAGATCGAGCGGGGCCAACGGAAAATCCACGTGGCGGGCAATGATTAAATATTATTTACTCCGATTACAGAACCGTCCTAACTGTTGGTTGTCGGCTTCCCACGCTGTTTTATACTGCAATTGTAATCCATCCATAATTTTATAATTAGGTTTTGACACGTGGCGTCTTTTTATTGGTTGAAGCCCCATGGGTCCGGAAATGTGAGATACCGTGAATTATTTTATTAATTAATGTTGGTTTTATTTTATTAATTAATGTTGGTTTGGCTCGCCATGAACATGTGATTTAAATCATTGTTGCGTGTTAAATTAATGGAATTGCGATGGATGACTACCATGACAATAAAAAAAATTATTTTTTTAGGGAGGTGAGTTGGGGCGATCGTGAGACCGACCAACCCGGACTATCTATTTCAAATTAAAAAAATTGAGTTGGATTGACATTTTTTTAGTCGGGTCAACTCGATCAGCTAAAAACTAGGATTATACCTCAATTCAACCCTACTTTATTTTTAAGATTATTATGAAAAATAAAAAATATTGCTAGTGTGTTCTTTCTCTAGCACATATTGACTTTCGTCCCTACATCATCATAGAACTTGTAGGGGTTATCCCAGAAACTAGCTATCACCAAGTTGACTTTCGTCCATTAAAACAAGTTCATAATTAGATGTGAGTTGGCTCGCTGACTCTTCGTCCCCACATGGTTGTCCCATCATTACTATTAACCACTAAACATCAGTCATGAGACAAGATATAGCATCTAACATAACCTACGTCTTTCACTGATTCAAGACTCATTTCTCTAGCATGGTATCTATACTATATGAATCAGTCATGAATTGTTCCTAACTAACTATCGTAGCCTAATAAAAAATTAAAAAGTTGGGGAACGGTCCTTGTTCGGTCGTTCGTTCATTCATGGCCTAAGGAGATTGATATCCATATCATCATACTTGAATTTAGATATCAACTCATTTCTAACTGGTATCAATGGTCATTTAAAGACTCTTTTTAAACTTGGAGAACGTAAGGTGCTCGTAATTTTAAAACCCATGCTATACTGAATTTCTGTTTATATTAAGCACGGAACCCGTGTAACAAGCTCCACATTAGCATGCAAATTTCAAAAAAAACATCAGTAGATACATATAATAATATTACATATAAGCAATATTCAACTATAATCGACATATATTTATGAAAGAAAAAAATAATAAAAAATAGAAAATTTTAAGGGAGGGAATGAGAAAGGGAAATTAATTCTCACCTTTCATTTCTCAATTCGTTCATCTTCGTCTTCTGCTTTGAATTTGCCCTAAACCCTTCTGAATTCTCAGAGAAAGCCATTAATTAGTAGCACAAGCGAATTGAGAGGAGACGAGGGTTTGTTCCTCAAGGCGGTGCGGGGAAGGGAGAAGAGCGGAATTGAGAAGACGAGGAGGGGAGAAGGAATCCCTAAACCATGCTTTTAGGGTTTCGAATTTCACCGACATCTGCTATTAGAATCAGCTGAACGCGACTTTCAACATTCAGAGGAGATGAGTGACGACAATGGCAAATCGGATAAGGATAATCAATGGCAATCGCCAAGAGCACCGCATCAACAGAAAGAGGAGGAGGATACGAAACTCTGGGGAGTTCTTCTCTTCGGTTTGATCGGTGCCTCTGCCACCACTCTTGCCGTGAGTTCTTTTTCTCAATCTTCGTTGTTTAGCCTAGCTACTGGTGATTTAATTTTAATTCTCTTCGTTCTTGCCATGGAATTTTAAGCTTTGAGCGATTGTTTGAAAACAGAATTTGGAATAGTGATAGGCAATGTGAATCTCGATATGTAATGAAACGCGTTATTCTAATTTCATCAGTATTTGCTATTGAAATGATCATGACTGTTATCAACTGACACAATAATTCCTCCTCATTAATAACGAAGGATAAGGAATTATCTGAATCTGTATAGTTGAGTATATTTGTAGTGATAAAATAATTTTCTGGTATATTTGGAAACTAATTCCATTGACTAGTTTTTCTCCTTGGAGTTGGTGCTTAATTTGACATTGGTTGTTCTTGGGCAGGTTAGTCATCTGCGGAGAACTGTTGATTGGGTATACACTCAGGTATATGCGTTAGTACATTAATGATGCTATCTAATATTTGTTAAAACTCGTTCTTAGATCAACTGCTGCAATGTGAGGGAGAAATGGTTGATTTTGCATTTTTCACTGCTTTTAAGGCATATTTGGCATGGCTCCTATAATCATTTAAGTTAGAAACAAAGAACTTGCACAAAAGAACTGGAAAGAAAGGATTTGGCGATATACAGTTGAAATATTGTGGCTGAGTATGTAACTTTGTTGGACAAAAGTTGAGCAGGTCAAAATCATCATGGAGTGGAGGAAATGGCCGTTCTTTCCGATCATCGTTTCAGGAGGAAGCATGGAAAAGGTATAATCGTAGGCTGCAAGAGGAGTATGAAGAAGAAATGGAGAGGGTGGTAAGAATTCTCTGGCTATTTATCATTTTCTTTGTTACTTTGAATTTGAAATTTGATGAGAAGCTCTAGAGATGCTTTTTTGGCCAGAATCTTATTTGATCCTGTTGGCTAACCTCAAGTTTAGTTCTTGATTTAAGTTTCCAAATTCTCTCTCTCTCCTTCTTTATCTCTCTCTTAATGACCATGATATGGGACGCCACTTCTTGAATCATGTTAATGGCCTACCTCCTAAGAAGCATGGATACAGATACAGGCCACATACACGACACATTTGGACATTGTGACGTGTCATTTTTTAGAAGTTTAGGATAATGACCGAGGAAATACATGTTTATAAAAGTAAACAATTTTTAAAATATATATAATTTTTATACAATAATGAAATTCAAAGTCTGTTATATATTTATATGCTTAAGAAAATGAGTTTGATGTATTTCGATCCTAAAATTTATGATTTTTTTTCTCCTATATCATTATGTGTCGATTTGGTGTGCTTAACAAATGTTGGTTATGTGTCTAAAAAATTTGGACCTATCTTGACTTTGTCAACTAGAGTCTTAACACATGTCTATTGTGCTAATAAATGTGCAACAAGTGTTATAGTATCCAAGTGTATTTAGATCAGGATATGAAATCCAGATTCGGCACCTAATGATTCCGACATTCCTTTATATCTTCCGCAACATGATCATGTTACCTACCTGTCTTGAATTGCTTCTAAGAGTAAAGACTATCCCCACAAATCAACAAGGGTCTTTTTAGCATGATTTGTCTTCACTCACATGCTTCTTAGAAAAATCCCTAGAAGGTCACCTAACATAAAATTACTCCAAACCAAACACGCTTAACTTTGAAGTTCTATGATTGAGTCATCGAAAAGAAAGTTGTACCTTGTTGGTATGACTAGTAGCTATCCATTCTTTTTGGCATTTCTTAGTCATCATATTTTCAGTATCACTCTCATTCAAAAGTGATATCGGTTCATTGATTTATGCCTCATTTACTTGAACGTCACATGCTCACCAACTGCCGTCTTGGTTTGTCCTCGCACCACCTCCTACTAGGAGAGATTCTGCTTTGATACCATCTATTTCAATCATCAATCATTAGGAGTATTTGTCGAACGTGGACACTAGTCAAACTTAAGTGTCAATGCTTCTTGGCCTGCCTCTAATCCCCCACGATGGTTTGCCCACTCACGGCCAGTTCCAGGAGGAAACAAATGTTTAAGTTATTTAGTATTCAGCATATGATTTGAACACTGGACTCTGAAGCCATCTCAAACAGTCCAAGCCGCTAGTAATAGTGTCATGGCACTTTTGGGATTCAAAGCTTTCAAATTCTTTATCTCACCATGACGTATTTTATCCTCTTCGCAACCTTTATTTTATTTCTTTCTCACTGTGGATTCTCGATACCTCGTCATTTTGTTTTTTGTCTTACTGGATCTCACTGCCCTGTTTGATTTAGGAGCGTATAAGGCGCATGCAGAATGTATTCAACCGAGAGAGGAACAAATACAAGAGAGGTTACGAAAGCTGGAGAGAGAATGATCCTGGTGCATATCATCAGCATCACCAGCGAGATGATTGGTATTGGAAGGCCGAGACATTTTACAGAGAGCAACAAAGTAATAATCATAGGGAAACTCCAAGAGTCAGAACAAGTTACTTGTTATCTCATCATTACACAGTTTTGGGTCTCGACAGGTGAATTTACTGTTTGATAACATTGCTTACAATTAAAATACGTATAGTTTTTCCTTCCCGGTCCGATTTTGGTGAGGATTAAACCTGGGACTGTTCCTCTTTTCGCATATTGAGACGTTCGTTGTATGGTCACCTTCCATTCGCTGGACCCTGGAATAGTTTTATGGTCTGATGGATTTAGTTTCAATTGTCTGTGTTAAAAGTGACATCTTATCTTAATTTCTGCTACAGGTGTCGAAAAACACCTTACACAGATGCTGAGATTAAGGTATGTTTAATTCTAGTTCATTTAAGCTCCTCCTATGTTATTGTACTAGAGTCGAAGCTTTTGCTGTCGGTTTCAATGAAGTATTTTATTATTCAAGTCCTGGGTTGTGAATTGAACTATTCATGATCACAGACAGCATTCCAATCCAAGGCGAAGCAGTTTCATCCAGATCAGAACCAGGATAATAAAGGTACCATGGAAGATAATCATACTTTCTTTTTCTAATATTCATCTTCATTTTCTACTCTAGCTAGCTTCTTATGATCATTGTTTTGCAGAGGCTGCTGAGGCCAAGTTCAAAGAGGTGATGACATCTTATGACGCCATAAAGTTAGAAAGAAAGAGCAGTAGAGCGTAAGACAGACTAACTGCACGTCTAGTCGTCGGTGGAACCATTTTTAACAGTATGAGATATTTTATTGGCTTTTTGCTAGAACACCCCTCCCCCGAGTTTGTTAGTATAGTAAAGCAAAAAATAAGATTGGGTCAGCCATGTATTATTAATATTTGATTTCGTAGGAGCGTGATATCACGCAGAAATGGCAAAGCTGTACGTTTTACTTGATATATTGTATTTTCACTAGAAGCCGGTCCATAATTAAATGATGGTTTAACATCAACGACGTTGTCATCGTACACCTTCCTTCTGTATTATTAGGGGTTCTTGAATGAATCTTAAGAGGAATACGTACACCTTCCTTCTGTATCATCAACTAAAACGAACCCCTTCTTTTTTGCCCAATTTGATCCTTCCTTCTGTATCATCACATCATGTTATGGGTTTATGAACGGGTGGGCTTCTGTAATAAGCAGGAACAGTTGCAGGGAAGAACATCTGTCTAACTCCTTCCGCCTTTATAATTGGCAATATGATTCCTGATGCGCTCTGCAACAAACCAATTCATTTCTCATTGAAGTTCAAAGTTTTCAGAGGGAAATATTTACAAACTCACATAGATCAGTCTTGCTCCAATCCAGATGCCTTTCAGAGAAGGAAATGGAAGCAGTAAGCGACCAACTCCATATATTGCCACAGCAAAGAAATGGAGAACCAGACATGATGGGCGAGGATTCAATCCTGAAAGCAAGGAGATAGGTCCATTTGAGAATACTCCTCCAAGGCTCAAATAATCAAAGCAAGCTTGTCTCATTTCCTTCCTGGCTTGATCTGGTGATGCACAAAAGACCTTGTATAATGCTCCTGCCAATGTGTTGATTGTAGAAGCCACTGGCTGCAGTTTGAGACGAACAATTAGCTTTTATGGCTTTTAGGAATGTCAACATGAACTACTAAACATACCTTTCGCAGAGTATAATAGGATTCTAGATACTTGCAGAGAGTTGGTGCATCATTCAAGTCTTTGAGCGGCTTGAGGAGGTTCCTGAGCACAACAATATCGGACAAAGCTACGGTCATTCCTCCACCGGTGAGAGGGTGGCGCATGTTGAATGCATCACCCATTAGTAAGGCACCGGGTGTCGGGTGGGGAGCAGCAGGCATGCTTCTGTTTGGCATTGTTCTTATATTACCCTTTTCAATAGCAGCTATAAAGGCATCATGGATTTGCGGAGGAACCTGCATGAGTATTGGTAATCCATCAGTTCAAAGCACTATAAGTCATAACATTGAGACAGTAACTCAAAATTTGTACCTGAGGCGCCACTACTGTCTTCAAATACTTCTCCATATCGCCATTTGGTATAGAAGGAACCTTCTGACCAGGAACATCAACCAGACAACGGATCTCGGTGCTGCTGATGGGATAGAACAAAATAGGAGAAGGATCTCCGAGAACAACATGCCCATGATTAGCAAAAGGGAGTCGGCAATTCTCAAGAACCAATCCCACAAAACAAGAGGGAACATCAACCTGCACAAGATAGAGCAGTTAATGGGCTCGGAATTTGAAGAACTTATTAAATATATTCACCCAGAATACTCTATAGATTTCACAGTTTTGCAGGGAAATCCAATGTCTATTTTGGGATGCCACTGCATAGTTGAAACCTCCTTACCATTGGCTTGCAAAGAGAGCGGCGTAAGTTTGAGAAGCAGCCATCACAAACAATAGTCAGAGGTGCGTATGCTGTTTTCTCTTCACCATTTTTAGACTTGTATTGCACTCCTTTGATCGTTCCTTTTTTTTCAAGCAGCGAAGTAACTGTCCCTTGCTCTAATCTCACACTACAAGAAATGGATACAGATCATATCACCAGATCACAAGAAACACGAAATTGAAGCATGGAGGGGCGAATCAATGATGAATGTTTGACAATTCAATCAAAACACTTAACTTTTCAAGAGCATTTCATATCATAGAGTAGCCCAGAAGGGTATTAAGGAAACATAATGTATGGCTTGAATCATTACTTCTAGAGATCGAAATTAACTTTTAACATCTGATAACGGGACATTCGTAAGATCTTCAAAACCACAGGGGTTGTTGAAACTAATTCTCTAAGAATTCAAGGAGCAGAAAACAGAACATACTTGGGAAGGGAAGCAGCCTTCTCCCTCATTCTCTGTATGAAGCGCCCATTGTGGAAGCTTCTTCCAGATACATCAGAGTGAAAATTTCCCAATGGATAAGAAACTCGAGTGTTCTTTCCATCCTTGAAAAGGGCATAGCCATACAGCTTCTGTGCATCAATTTCCTCAACACAATCTGCAGTATAAACACATTTTTTCCTTAATAACTGATGAATAGCTTACTTAAAAAGTAGAGTTGGAAAGAAATTTCCCAGGCCAAAACAAACCTCCAAGTCCTAACTCGATCAATTTGAGGTGACCGCCAGGCTGTAAGAATTCACCAACGATTCTATCCGGCTCTGTCAAGTCTCTTTCAATCACGTGAACTCGACGACCATCCTACAAAATTCAATCCGATCACCCAATCACTTCATTGGTTTGTTCGTTACATGGACGAGTTACTTAGACCCCAAAGTTTTGTCTTCCTTCTTTCCATTTTTTCATCTCATCCATAATTGATAACAATTAACTATGCAATAGATCCTTTAATTCTGAGGTTTTCTATTCATCAAATATCAACAGAACGCAAATACGCCAAGTTTTCATAAAAAAAAAAATGATCGACGCAAGTATGAGCAAGAGAAAGCGAGAACAAAACTACAGAACAGAGTCAGAATCAAAATAAAGCGTTAAAACCGAGACACCTTGCCAAGAGTATGAGCAAGAGCGGAACCGGCAACACCGGCTCCAACAATGATAACGTCGGCGTCGGCGTCGGCGTCTTCGGGTTCACATTCTCCATTGGCGATTGCAGGACTTATTACGCAGTCCTTACTCGCAGTGGAATCGGTTCCTCCCCGGCGATTCCTCCTCGGAACAGCGACAAAGAAAGTAACTGCAACTACGAGACCGAGCACGGCAGCCAAGATCCAGCCATAGGCGCAGTGTTCCACCATCATTTCCTGGTTCCTGAGACTGCAACCGCACAGAGATCGCCGCAGTCAAGAAGATTCGGTTATGCGGACTGAAGCTTGAGGAAGGGACGATGCAGTCGCATGGACACTTCCTACCAGAGGTCAAAATATTTAAACTTATATAATACATTAATAAAAATAATAATCACATTTTATTTATTTATTTATTTGTAAAAATAATATAATTATTTATTTAATTACAGTAAATTGATAATAATGTATTCAATAAATGCTAGTACTGATTTACTGAATTTATAAATTAATTACGTAATGAATTAATTAATGAAAAATATTAATTTAGAAAAAAAAATTGGAGTAATTATCATTAATTGTTTATAATTCGTTTATTAATATTTATTTATTGCATTAATTTTGATTAGTTGGTTGCTTAGCACATCATAATCATGAAATATTTTTGGGCATTTTATATCATAAATAAACATAAATATCATTTATTTCTTTTTAAAAAATTATTTATCCACCCTTCAAATTATTAAAATTAATACCGATAACCTTCATCTATAAATTTTGATATTAATCTTATTTTTGAAAATTTAATTAATATAGACGAAAATAGTAATTCATCTATAAATTTAGATATTAACCTTATTTTTAAAAATTTATAAATATTTTTTAAATATAGTACTAATAGTTTATTCTATAAAAGTTATTTAATAAGTTTTTATATTTTTAATTTTGTGCTCGGTATTTAATTTTTTAAAATTTTATGTCTTATTCATCATTTTTTAATAAATGGGCTCATTGGGCATGTTTCTGGACCTGACGAGCAGGCCGCCTATAGTGTGCGCACCCCCGTTTGAACTAAACCCAAATTATCTTAAACAATCAATTAAGAAAATTGTCAAAATTAATTGAAATACAATTTAACTTTTAAATAAAATTCAAACATTATATAATATATTACACAAAACACGAATCTTTACAGTATGATATTGTCTACTTTAAGCTTTCCAAAAGATCTCACACCAATACAGAGAGTATTTTTTTATTAAAAATTCATAATAATTTTCTAAATTAGCCGACTCCTTTATAATAGTAAATATAAAAATATAATAGTTAGTCTCAACTCCTTTATTATATAGGAAATATATTAATCAATCCAAAAACTTTGGTTGATAATTTCGTTTAGTTATTATTATTATTTATTTATTTATATATATATATATATATTTTGGTGTCTTTTGGGGTGTCGGCAATAGAAAGAATTACCAAAAAGGGCACTTACATTTTATTTTAAGATCATTTAACTGCTTTTAGTTTTGCTTTTACTAAATTAAATTATAATTAAGTAGCATAAGGGACCTACTTGTCTTTTTACACTTTTTTTTTTTCTTTTTCAAAAAATAAATATTTAATTTTTGGGTTATGCTGAATAACACTCCCAAAAGCATCGTCCACCATTGAAAAAGTTTTATAAAAAAGAGCTGTACTCCAATTTAATATTATTATTCCCCAACTCGATGGAAAATACGCTAATTTGAATTTAATTTAGCGAATAAAATATAAATTATTATTCTAAAATATTCATATAATCCAACTAATAAAGTGATAAATAAAAATAGAATTGAAAGGAAATGGATGTGTAATAATTCATCTATTTTAATAGGATACAAGATAGCAATTAATACCTTCGAATTAAAAAAATAATTAAATATTAAGAATAAAATAAAATATACGAGAATTAAAATCATAAATTATGGGATGAAATCTAAAAAAAATTGACTCGTGATTTGGTTGAGTTGTCTTGTAGTGTGTAGCCAATGGTCATAGGAAGGAGAATTAGTTAGCCAGACCAAGGTCCATGGTTTTCACTTTTCCGACAAAATGTTCATTGGAGTGTCCGATCATCCACCGTCAACTTCTCCCACGTGTCTTCATCTCCGCGCTTTTATCAACGTTGTCCCCACGTGCGCCTCTTGCCGGTGCAACCCCACTTCCCTTGTCTCAATCCAACGTCCACCTATCCATTTTCTTAATCCCTCTTTAATCCTCAATCTTTTCTCCAAATTACTAATATGTCCCCACGGTTTTCACATTTGATTTTTTTTTTTTAATTTATAATTATTATCTCAACTCATTAATTTCTTTATTTTATGATTTTTTTTCCAATTTTGATTAAATTGAAAAAATTCTGTTCAGTTTATAAGT